AAAAAAAAAAAGCCAGTAGTTGCAGAACAGCACGCACTTCAGATTGACACACCCTATAGCAGAAAAACTGTAAAGAATAGGGGTAAGAAACAGGATGAAGACAAGCACCAGCAACCTTTAATGACTAAAAGGTCACACTGAAGTAACGAATCAGGCAACAATAAAAATACGCACACTCTTATACTAATGCTAGATCAAAGGTAGGGGAACTTGAACACTTAGCAGTAAATACTGTAAATACTGATATTGACATAATGGATATCTCTGGAACATGGTGGAGTGAGGAAAATCAATGGGATGCTGGAATACCAGGATACAAATTACACAGGAATGATACAGTAGGTTGTACTGGTGGGGGAGTGGCACTCTACACCAAAGACTGCATCAAATCAAATAGGATAGATTTTTCAACTGATAAGACAGGTACCATAGAATCTTTGCGGATAGAAATCCCAGGTTGCAACAGAAAAAAGTGTGTCTAGGGATATACTATTGACCCTTAACCCAGGACAGCAGCAGTCAGTTAGAAGTGTTAAGGGAATTGAGAGAGGCTGCAACAGCAGAGAACACAGTAATAATACGGGGCTTCAATTATCCACAAGTGGACTGGGTCAATTTAACATTAGGCTGGGATGCAGAGACCAAATTTCTTGATGTTATAAAAGACTGCTTCCTGGAGCAGTTAGTCCTGGAACCTACAAGAGGAAAGGCTATTCTTGACCTAGTCCTAGTAGCACCCAGAATTTGGTGCAAAGGGTAAGTGTCCCTGAGCTCCTTGGCAACAGTGACCACAATGCAATTGGGTTCAACATCCACATAGAACAGGGGTCAGCAACCCCTGGCACGAGGGCCAAGCATGGCACGTGAGGCCATTTCGCTTGGCACGCGGCGGACAGCCCCAGCTCCAGGTAGCTGCTGCCAGTGACGGAGCCTGGGCTGCTCCCAGCAGAACTTGCAGTGTCCCAGCTGCCTGTGGAAGCAGCCTGGGATCCCAGCTGGCAGCAGCTCCCCAGAGCCAGGGCTGGCTGCAGCCGGCAGGCTCCAAACAGCTGTGCCAGGCTCCAGGCTCTGGCATCAGCTCTGCACCAGCAGGTGTACCCATGCACCAGAGTGGGCGGTGGGGGCGGGGCCTGAGGCAGCGCAGCCCAGGTCTCTCCCTCGCTTCTAGCACAGAGGTGATGAGCCCGGCACAGCTGTTTGCACTCTGCCTGCTGCTTGCTGCAGCTTCCCACAGCCCAGGTTGGCTCCAAACTGCTGCGCCGGGCTCATCACCTCTGTGCCGGGAGTGGGGGAGAGACTGGGCTGCCTCAGGCCCTGCCACCACCGCCCACTCCAAGGCGCACCTGCACACGCCGGTGTGGAGCTGATGCTGGAGCCTGGCACAGCTGTTTGGAGCCTCCCGGCTGCAGCCGGCTCTGGCTCTGGGGAGCTGTTGCCAGCTGGGATCCTGGGCTACTCCCAGCAGGCAGCTAAGATGCTGCAAGCCCTGCTGAGAGCAGCCCAGGCTCCAGCAGCTACCCAGAGTCAGGGTAGGTGCTGGCAGCCACAGAGCCCGGGCTGTGGGGCAGGGGCTTTGGGTGGGGGGCAAGGGGCACAAGCAGGTCATCCTGCCATGTACCCCTTGCCCTCATTTTGTTTTTCTGCCATGCCAGCCCTCTGGCACCTTCCAAGGTAGGCATTGTGGTGTTTTCAGCACTCTGGCCAAAAAACATTGCCTACCCCTGACATAGAAAGTGAGACAAGAAAATTGACCATAGTAGCCTTTAACTTTAAAAAGGGAGATGACACCAGAATAAGGAATCTAGTTAGACTGAGGTTAAAAGGGGCCCCTAAAAAGGTGAGGAACTTGCACACAGAATGGAAACTACTTAAGAATACCATATTGAAGGCACAAAGCAAATGCACACTACAAATAAAAAAAATGGAAAGTGGGCCAAAAGAAAGCCAGCATGGTTTAATGGTAGAGTTGCAGAGGCAATAAGCAGAAAAAGGCTTCTTTCAAAAAGTGGAAGTCAAATCTCCTAATGAGGAAAATATAAAGAGCATAAACACTGGCAAGGCAAATGTAAAACTGAAATAAGACAAGCTAAAAGAAACTTTCAGAAGCTTGCTAGACACACAAAAGGTAACAATAAACATTTTTTGAGTACATTAGAAGCCAAAGACCTGCCGGACCTTTGGATGATCAAGGTATAAAAGAGGCACTAAAGGATGACAGGGCCAGTGCCGAAAAACAAAATACATTTTTTGCATCTGTGTTCACTGTGG